AAAAAGACAGCCGCTCCTCAGGTACCAGCCCCTTTCCGCATGCGCTCGAGCCTCCGTACCTTTGCACTTTACTTCCACAGCTCCTGACTCTCAGTGTGCTTTTCTCTTTCCTTCTAGTTGTAGAATTTCCACTCACCCAGCAATTTCCACTACTTCCTGTAGTTCTGGATGATGTCCGTTTTGTCTTTTTATTGTATTTGTGAAGTTGTTGTAGAAGGCAGCAAGTTCAGTGTTTATCTATGCCACCATCTTGGTTTCTCCATAAAATTATTTTCGTTGCTACTTCATAACTGTGATGTTGCTACTGTTATGAATCATAATGTAAATATCTGATATGCAGGATGGTCTTAGGCGACCCCTGTGAAAGAGTCGTTCAACCACCAAAGGGGTCGCGACCCACAGGTTGAGAACTACTGCTTAAGGGTGAGAGCCAGCGCAGAGGATTATGGGAAAGTAAGGCCCAGCCTCAAAGTCCCTGCTTGGCTGCTGTGGTGGCCAGGAGGCAGGGAGCAGGCTGAGCTTCAGAGCAGATCATCCGGAGACACCCACCCTCTCGGGCTCAGGAGGGTCAAACCTAGGACTCCAACACTGTGCTTGACCTTCCAGGCCTGCCGCCTGCCCTGGCCCTTTCCGAGCCGCAGGTGATGGCTATTGTTCTGACTTGTGGATTCATCCTGAACAAGGGCCTGGTGTTCTCAGTCCTGATTGTCCTTCTCCGGAAAGCCAGGGCCTCAGGTGAGTGGGGGCCGAGGCCTGGCTTGGGGTGGAAATGAATGAGGGGACCCAGATGCTGGCTGCAGACAAGAGCTCAGAGGTTCCCCACAGCGTGCCCCCTGGGTTTCCCCACTTCTTTGCCCAGGAGGCAGGTCCAGCCCCGGAAACCCTGTGAATGGCGCTGGGCCGGGCTCACCAGGACAGGAAGACCTGGGGGTGGGAGCGGCCAGCATGGTTTTGGCTGTTTGGCAATCCAGTCTTTTCTTCAGAGGAGGGAGGGAGGCTGAAGCCAGGACTGGCATGGATGGATCACCTGCAAATGCTGTCTATTTCTCTCACCCCTCAGGCAAGGTTAGGAGCCAGCAGTCCCGGATTGTGAGAGAGGTGTCCAGGATGGCGAGAGGGTGCAGGCCAGGCTGAACGACCTCCTCCCCCCGACCCCCCATGTACGAATTTCGTGCATCTAGTCTCTAGTCTTTCATAAAAAGTAAATACAATAACAGGACTCAAAGAATCATCCAAATGAACCTGTGCTTGTTCCCTTGCTGCTGTTCAGACCCGCTCTGCTGGGGCGTCTCTGGCCCTCCGGTGAAGCCCATGGCAAGACCCATCACTCTCATGGTCATTTTAAAAACATATTATTTTTAAATTAAATTTATTGTGGTGACATTGGTTAATAAAATTATATAGGTTTCATTTTCTGGGTCATTTAAAAAAAAAAGACTATTTTTAAAGCAGTTTTAGGTTCCCAGCAAAATTAAGGACACAGTACAGTGCCCATATGGCCCTGTCCCCACAAGTGCACGGCATCCCCACTATCAGCATCCTAGTCCACGCACACAGTCACCCATGGACGCAAGTCACCGTTCGTCTGGTTTTATGGAATTTATTTTTTTCTACCTCCATCCCCCAGCTGCACTTTCTACCCGTTGCCCCATAGGTATCCTCCTATGTAGTTAATGCATATGTCCTTTCATGCATATGTCCTTCCACTCTACTTTCCATACATGTATTTACATTTGTGCGGGTCCTAGAATGCACATAGAAGTGATTCATGTGCTTTATTTTATACGCATTTCCCTCTGAGCTTCTGGGAATGACTCTCAAAGCCACACTTTTCCATAAAAATGTGCACTCCCATAGAAAACTGTATAGTTTCTAGCACATTCTTCCTGGTTCTTTGATTCTGATTCAATGACAACTATTTTATAATCAGAGGCCCAGTGCGAGAAATTCATGCACGGGAGGCAAGGGGCCCCTCAGCCCGACCTGCTTCTCTATCAATCTGGGACCCCATGGGGGATGTCTGGACTAAACCGGCAGCCAGACATCCCTCTTGCAATCTGGGATGCTGCACGCACCAGAGACCACACTTTTCATACAGGTGAAAGGCATCTTGCTGTTGTATGGGCAGCTACATTATTTTGCCCTGATTATAAAAAATAGTACATAACATGATCCTTCTGAGGCAGTAGTGCCATTTTCCCCATCTTATGGGTGAAAACCTGAAGCAGAGAGAAGTTAAGTAATTGGCTTTATCACACAGTTATAAGTGTCAGAATCAGGGCTGACCACAAAATGTGCAAGCCAGGGTCCGTGCATGTCATCACTGCATTATCCTGTTTCTTCAGTGTTAGTGTTAGAGTAGCCTTGCCAGGTTTGAATTTTTAGATCTAAGAGACAGTTCCCAATATAGAGGGTAGGGTCTCTAGGCCTGGTCTGCAATCAGGGTAATCTGTGGGGCGACTGATGATTGGGGTGATAGGGGGGCCCCCCACCTGCACCCACCTAGGCTGGTGGCCTGGGCTGCCCACTGGCCAGCCCTGCTCCCTGATTGCTGCTCCAGGTCACCTCCCTCTCAGGGCAGTGCACTTCATTGCAACCAGTCATTCTGCCGGTTGTTCCACTGTTCGGTTGATTTGCATATTAGAGTTTTATTATATAGGATTCCGCAAATCATAGGTAATTGATAGACATACAAATTCTGTGTTTCTTCCGCTATTGTGGGAGGGATGAAAACCCCACACTGGTGAGTCTCCCATGCAATTCATGTCAACATTTCTTTACTCCATATAAGAAGTTTTCATGTGTATTCTTAAGAAGGCTAAATGCTCAGCTGTCCAGCTGAGGGGAGTTGGGTGGGATGGACAGCTGCGCTCTCCCCACCAGGACTCTGTGTCCTCTGCTGCCCACTGCTCCCCTCCAGCTTCCCCATGCACTTGGGGAAGAAAGCCCCAGAGGCAGCGGGGTTCCAGCGGCCGCCCTAGAGGAGGGGAGAAAGTGACTAAGAGCTGGGGGTCCCAGATGCATCGGCAGCAGGGGCCCCAGAGCTGTCCATCCCGTCCCTGCGACCATGTACCCTCCAACTGACCTCCATGTGCCCTGGCCAGGCTGCTAGTCCCTCATGTCCTGGGAGCCAGCAGAGCCCACCCTCTCACTGCTGCCACCTGCCGACCAGCCCCTCCTGGGACAAGTGTGAGGGGCAGCTGAGAGCCCCCCTCAGTGGCAGGACCAGCCTGACCCCTGACTGGGGTGCAGAGGCTGAACTCAGGACTGTCTCCCCCATCCTACCTGGGCTCCTGGTTTGAGCCCTTAGAGCTGTGGTTCTCCATATTCTGGCCCTTTAAATACAGTTCCTCATGTTGTGACCCAACCATTACATTATTTTCGTTGCTAATTCATAACTTTAATGTTGCTACTGTTATGAATCAGGACCGGGACCAGGGACCAGGGCTGCCACCTATCCCATGTGACCCTGCGCAGGTCACTAACCCTCCTGGCCTCAGGTTTCCTGTCCTGTGAAAGGGGGACTCTCATTCCTACCTCAAGACTTGTCAGAATAAAACGAAACAACACAAACTTTATGCAACTTAGCACGTGCGTTGTGATTGCTGGCCCTCAAGTTCTTTTCAAGTTATACTATTGTGTGTCATATTCTATGTTTTCAAAGACTGCTGGACCCCACTTCTCTGGTTTGTCCTAGATTGTAAGGGGAAAGGGAGGGCAGAGGTGGACATGGTCTCTAGGTGGCGGGTGCAGGATTCAGGCAGAGGCCAAGGTGTGCCCTAATGTCAGGCAAGGTGGCTACTGACCTTGCTTGCCCAGGTGTTGGGGTCCAGCCCCAGCAGGTCCAGGGGTTCCCAAAGCTGTGGACGGAGTCAATGAAGAAGGAATGACATGGAGGCAGCGTTCAGTTGATCAGCATAGCCAGGTTCTCTCTCCAGGTTCTCCAGCCAAGTTCTGTCTTTTAGCACTTAGTTAAGGAGTTTTATTGATTTAGTCCCTTCCTTAGTTCTGTTAATCCCTAACTCCAGGGAAAAATCCCCACCTGGGGAAACAAGCTTTCTCAGAGAGGTGACCCTGGTTATAACACATAGTGCTAAGAAGGGGAGCAAACATATTAAGAACAGTATGCCATATACGCCAGGTCCCTTGAAACATATGCTGTGCAGATGTTTCTTCCCTTCAGCGACTGTGTCGAGCAGCAAGGATGGACCAGCTTCCGGCACCCAGGATCAGGGGCTCCTGGATCAGGCCGACCCATGAACGCTGCCCATCTGTAGAGCCTGCTCCCACACAACCCCATGGCAAGGAAGAACTCAGATCCTAGACTTGGAGGTTCATACCCGACCCTGGGTCCTCGGCTACCAGGGACCTGGTGGCCTCTTTGGAGCTCTGATACATCCTCCCCCAGGTCCCAGCATCTCATTCCCATCTGCCGCTCCCACCCTGTCCCCGAGCTCCAGGGGACCAGGTCCCAGCAGATCCAGGGCAGGGGTGCAGGCAGGGCCAGGTGTGAGGCAGCCTAAGGCCGTGGCTGCCTCAGGCGGTGAGAACCGAGCTTCCTAAGCAAGGGGCTGAGACGGGGTGCCCTGAGGGGGTGACCTGTGGTGGCCACAGGAAGGATGGACATGGAGTCCCCGGCACCCCTGGCACGTTTGGATGTTTGAACTGAGGAGCCGGCGGACGGGCCTGCCACCTTCCACTCTGAGGCAGGCTGGCAAGCCCGAGGCTCCCAGCTCTTGCAAATGCTGCACACCCTGGGTCAGGCAGTCGGTGGGGGTTCAGCCACCCCACCCCTCCTGCAGGGCTGATTGACTCGCCCCAGTGCTGGGAGCAGGGAGGGTGGGAGGACCTCCCCAGGTGACCCCTCCCAGGGCAGCCCACCCCCCTGAACGGGAAGCAGGGAACCAAGGTCCTGAGGGGCAGCCTGTCCTCAGAGGGTGGTCCGAGCTTCCTGGTGGCCGAGGGCTGCTCTCGCCCTTGCCTGGTCCCCGCACTGTGTCCCCCCACCCCTGCCCCCC